TCATACTTCAGGTATGTGTATATATATGTTAGATGGTAACAATCATCGTGTGAGATTTGACTTGGACTGTTCTGATATAAGAAGGTTCAAAGATTTGGTTGTACAGTGGAACCTAAGGGGTCAACGATATTGTCCCTTTAGAGAAGTTGTCCCTATATACATCGGAGGTCAAATACACTAAAGAATGAAAAGCACTGAAGTGCAAACCCTCGGCGCACAGTGTGACGCGCACGCGTAAGTAAACGCATGCGCCGTACCACTAATTGATGGGCTGGGTTTAGTTTTAGCTGTTACTCGTGGTCTCTTGCCAGCTCGCGCAGAGTCTGACGCGGGCAAACTACACTACTAGATAGCATGCGAGAGGCGATACACGCACTGCGTTGCATCTTCTGGTGCCTCCGAGGTACGCAGAGCACGCGGATCGATCATGCTGTAGTAAGCCGTTGTATATTTGCATATTGGCTTTTTCCCGTTCTAGCTTTGCAACGGAGCGTTTTCAGAGAAAACCGTTCGAAAATTCTGACCTTCATTGCCCGTTCAGTAGGTGGTATCCTTTGTGAGACGAAAGAACATTCGAGAAGTGAGATGAAGAGTAACAGACAGACAGACAAACCCAACTACTGTAACCCTCGCTGCGCATGCGCGCCGAGGGTTAATTATCATGGGGTTGAAACAATAATCCTTTGTAGAGAGGTCGTCCCTTTCTCGGAGGGTCCCTTATCGGAGGTTCCACTGCAGTCACATGGATCAGGGGAACAGTTAAGCCTCATGCTTTAGTTACCTGTTCATTTCCCTTCTCGTAGAAGATCATGTAGGTGTTGAGGAGTTCCACCAGTAGCTGGACCTGGACTGAGGTGTCCATACACTGCTGAGCTATGCGACCAGCCTTCTTGAGACACTCCACACACTCTCTTCGGGTCCTTACACTGCACAGAGAGGAATGCAATACATCACTTCACTCCATGATAAATATCCATTTTCAACTACAGTGCAATACTTCCATTGAGAAGTAATGAAGCTAAACCACTAGTCTAACTAGCACCTGAAATAATTTCACCTAAGGTAAGTTGAACTTGTCTAGAGATTTGGCAACTTAAAGTTTGGCCACTGACTGTATGCCAATTCAGAAGTAGTGTGCATAGCTAAAACTGTGAGAAACTTCAAAAAGCGACCCTGCCATTCCCCCACTATACCGTACAACATGATTACTCTGAATTAAAAGGGGCAGTGAGTGAGGCCCAGTCACACTGACCTCAGTGACCTCTCTGTCTTCGCTGGTGAAGTGGCCAGACCAGAAGACGTGGGCACAGGTGGCCACACTGCGGCACTGATCTGGCTTCTTGAGGAGGCGGGAGAGGACATGGCGCAGTTGGAGCGCAGCTTCTCGTGGTTTCTCCTCCCCAGACTGGACAGCTGCTCCAGGGTGGCGATAATAGAGTGATGGCTGCTGCTGGGCCCGGGAGTACGTCACTTCATTCCTCGTACAGAGTGAAGGCACTAGGGGAGGCACATGGTCATGGTGGTGAGATTTAATACTAGGGCTTTTCAACAAAAGGCAAGGTATTACAAAATGAATGATTTGATGACTACAAAATGAATGCCAACAAAGTTTGAGTGAGCGAGTGCGAGTGAAAAATTTGATGGTTTTATGCATTCTTAAAGCACCCAGAGTTGTATATGGAAATGTAAGCAATATTATTTAGACGACAAGGTGACTTGTTTAGCTTTGCTAATGAGAAACATACACACACAAAGGCCAAATACACCCAATATGTAACTCTGGCGTCACAACAGGGGTTAATGTCACCTGATGAAGAACTCGTATGTGACGGTCTCGTTTGCTGATCGGTCGGCCACCATGGAGGCCTGGAGGAAGAGTTCAGAGAGAGCTCCGGCTGGTTCTTGACCAGAGCATTGATGGTTGGAAACAGAACTTGAAAATCTGCTCACCACTCATGAGCGAGCGGTGTCCTGCAGAGAGAGATAGGGAAAAGAAAAAGAGGGAGAGAGATTGAGAACTGTTACACATATCTGTGACGAGGACGAGAGGATGCAATAGTAAATAATGAGCAAACTTTTTTAGTAACATTACGGTACGGACAGAGCTGTGTACATGCTAATAGTATGCAGAAAATCAGATAAAAAGGTGGGCTTGCTTCGCTCACCAATAAAACTCATTTTCATAAAAACAGGTCATCAGGCAATACTTTGAGAGAGCAACTCATTAACGAAAGGCTCGGTTTTGCACCACATTACCATAAGAACTGTATGAAAACAGTTAGATGCACACTGGTATATACTCTGTGTGAATACTATGTATATACCATCATGGCAATACATGGAGTGAAGGTCAAAGTGGGGATGGATTCTGGACTGACCTGTTCTCGGAGAGAGAGTGGTACTGGGAGATGAGGTTGTAGGCAGCAAACACCAGGGGGAGGCAGAGTGAATCGAATTCTCTGTCTCCTCCCGTGCCAAAGTGCTTCCGAGCTACATTCAGTATCTGCAGGACAGCATTCACTACTGCACAAGTAACTACACACAACAAGGCTACATAATATCTAGACTTTATTCAACAGTTCTCCAAAAGAGTCATTATAACAATCTTCAGTGTTTCCTTAAAAAAAAGTGACAGAGAGGGCATATCAGGGTTCATAAAGCTCAAAGGTATACTTTTGTGGCGGAGGAAATCCATCGTCTAAAAGAAATCGTGGGCACTAAGAGGTAGTTAGCTACTAGTGGGTACATATTCAGTATGCACCATGTACTGCTGGTCAGGTTCAGGGGCTCTGAAGAGGTCCACGAGACAAGCCATCATCATCTGCTCCTCCTCGAAGTCGTCCGGATCGGGAGGTTCGGCCGGCTGGTCTGCCTGGTCCTTCACCAGTGGGGACAGCAGCTTGAACAGAGCATCCGCCTGCAAGATAGAGAATGAGAGAGAGCTGATTCACAGGGAGTTTTCTTACCTGCAAATTACACGTTTATGTTAATGCATACAGAATAGTTGGAAATAGAGCCAGGCCAGGTTTACTGGATAAACTGGATAGTTTGTCCCCCAGATTACTTTTTCTGATGTGAGAAAATGGAGTTAGCTACCGAAGGTGACCTACATACCTCATCAGCCGTAGGGATGGATATAGACTTGTTTACTACAGTTCCCACCACACTAACAGCTAGAGACTTGCGCCCCTGATAGTCATGGAGCTCCAATGCCTGTAGGGAAGGGAGAGGGAGGGAGATGAAGAACGAGAGGATGTGATGTAAGATGAACGAAACGGAGTTGAGAAGGGAGAGAGAGAGAGAGAGAGGTGGGAGACATTGAGAACCAGCCTACCGAGTGTTCTGACCATCGTCTACAGAGTGTTATGAGACAACCATGATAGGTGGTGGGACCCTCACTTTGGGGAAGTTGTCTAGTTTGAGGATGTCAAGTGTGCTCTCGTAGGTCTTGACCGGGACATTCTGCAGTCGAATCAGCTCTCGGGACGTGACCGACGAACTGTCCACTCTGAACAATGACAAGAACAATGACAAGAACAATGACAAGAGCAAGAGAAACTTCTAAATAGAGGTGGAGGAAGCTAAGGGTCAGAAAATTCGAAGCATTGACTTCTAAATTTGCTAGGTAAAGGCTGTTGTTCTTTTATGAATGCGCAACACTATCACCACCAAATTGCTCCTCACTTTCCCCCAACAACCCGGCCCCTTGATGGCAGTCAATGATGTCTACAGTACGTACGGGGTGGCTTCTCTCTTGGTGAAGACCTCCACGGTACAGAGGAGGGCGGTGTCCACATAGTCCAGTCTGTTGGGGTAGCACTTGAGAGCCAGGTTCACCAGTGAGGCATACAGAGCCACCACGTCCTCCAGTGGCATGGCCGCGCGCCCCTTCATAATTATGGTATGATAGGAGAATGAGAGGAGCAATAGAATGCACCAAACACTCCAGTATAGAGTGAGATGGGAGAGACGGGATAAGATAGGAGAGATAGAAGGGACCAAAGTTGAAACTTTGTACATTTCAAGGTGTGAGAGTGCCCTATGAACCTCAATTTGTGGGGTATCCAACAGAGTTGCTTACATAAGTATGCATATAGGCAATGTAAAGTGGAAGGGTAGGTTCCGAGGCTACATACCATGAAGCTAAGTCACTAGGGCAGCTCGGTAAGAGAGATTACACTGTACTGAACAACCATGGAGAAATTATTGATATGAAGCTGAGGGCACTGTGACAGCTCTGCAAGTACCTGAACAACCAGTGAGACTATTGCTACATACCCTCAATAGGCAGTAGAGTATATAGTCTATACCTGAACAACCATGGAAACCATTGCTACTGTACCCTCACTAAGGTAAGTCTGCAGTACTCTATACCTGAACAACCAGTGAGACTATTGCTACTACACTCACTAGGGTAACTCTGCAGTACTCTATACCTGAACAACCAGTGAGATTGCTACTTACCCTCACTAGGGTAACTCGGCAGTACTCTATACCTGAACAACCAGTGAGATTGCTACTTACCCTCATCTAGGGTAACTCTGCAGTACTCTATACCTGAACAACCAGTGAGATTGCTACTTACCCTCTCTAGGGTAACTCTGCAGTAGAGAGTACGTACTCTATACCTGAACAACCAGTGAGACTTCTTGAGAGAAGATGTCAAACAGTTTGATGGAGTCGGGGATTCCCCCTGTGTCGGAGCGATGGGCGTAGTTTGCGAGTCGGTCGAGGAGGGCAATGATGATGTTCTTGACATTGACTGCCTCCTGCATGTCGGCACACGCCTGCAGGAACAGGTTCAGTGTCTGCAGGTGGAACTCATCTGGGAACACCTGCCGTGTGTGTGTGTGGAGGGAGGGAGAGAGAGAGACATTTTATATCCCACAGACGTTTCACAGCCTTGCTCTAATGAGAAACACAGAGCTACATAAAGACAAGAGGAAGTATATAGAAGAGTAGTGGGAGAGAACTGATTACAGAGGAGAGAGACAAAGTGGGTGCCACAGACCTGGATGATGCACTCCATGAGGTACTCCTGGGCAATGGCATCTCGACACTTGATCACCTGCTCCAGTACAGTCGGCAGAACATCCTGCATTCACCAAGATTAGCCAACACTCATCTTTCCACATTTCACAGTGACAGAATCCTGCTATGTGTAGCTATGTCTATAGATCTATGTCTTCTAAGCCACTGGAGCTACATTTTCCCTACAAGTTTACTCACACATCTTGTGTTTCGGTTTGTTTTGTTTGTGGCTCTCAATACATACATCTCTTTCTTGTGCCTTTCGTCTTCCCTTATTAAGTTTACTAAACACACATCGTTGCTACTTACTACACTTTCACACCCACGGAACTTCTCCAACACACACACAGTGTGCAACAATAAGTACAAACACACCAAGTGTGCAACTATCAATACCAACCAACTATTCTGAGAGGAGCTATGTAGCACCGGCATACTTTCTGGTAGAGCTCAGAGTCGATGGACTCCAGCTGAGAGAGACGGACGAGGTTAGTCCCCACGAGTATCCTCAGCTCCAGCCTCTCCTTCTCCCTCCTCTCCTTCTCCTTGGTGTGGCCCTGGTGCTGCATCCTCACCCAGAGCTTGTTCATCTCGGCAAAGTTCTGGAGGATGAAGTGGATGGAGTCCTTCACCGTTCCATCATCCCTGCGCAGAGTAGTCAGTGTCACAAGGTAAGGCTGTGAATGCAGATACTTTGATGTCTTGCATAGAATATCAGGTACGTATGCACAGGTTTTAACTAAGGCTAGGTTCACGATACAACGTTGCATTGCCTTGTCGTGACGTGTAGTGTTGCCCATAAATGGGTGATTTATGTAGTGTGATGGGGCAATGCGACGTATTGTGAACCCAGCTTTAGACTCTGCCCCCATCAACAATATGATTCTCATGATGCCCCACATAATGTTCCTATGGTACGTTGGCTGGTCTCTCTTATTATATAATGCTGAGTGACATACAACTTTCTGCGCTTATATGCACCCATGCCCTCGTGAACATGCAACATGTCTGGACAAACTGACTACATGTATCTCTAGCCCCATTGACTTGGATTGATGACCAACTGTTAACCACACCAGCTCAGTGTGGGAGAGACTCACTCATCGATAGCAGAGGTGACGTCGGGGAGGTGGTTGCGGGTACACTGGAGGAGGTAGTTCCTGAGGAAGAGTCCTCTCAGAGGGTGCTGGACACCGCGACACATCTCCACCAGGTCCTTGAGGATGTCCCTCTTGGTTCCCTCCTTGGACTTGATGTACACCAGTCCCACTGTCACCAACAGGTACCTGCACACACACCAACACACAATGGAACAGGTACGCACCATGGATAGACTGTGTTTAGTTTGACATTCGTACACTCAGAGTATTACGATACCCACACCCACATCCACACATACACCATGGAAAAGACTGTGTTAGTTTGAAATTCGTACACTCAGAGTATTATAATAGAAGATCTTGACAGAGTATGCAAGAGACCTCTGTGTCTGATTGTGGGGGTTTAAGGTGCATCCTGGCTCATTATAGACTAAGCAGCCTCTCTAGTGTACAAGTTGTTTTTAAATCGAAATGCATCATGGCAAAGAACACCACACACAATGAACATGTCTCTAGATAATGTGTGAGAATGCAACGGGGAGTTTGTTTAGCAAAGGGAGTAGAATAGGCAACTTTTTGTGCCCTACTCTACTACACAAACACAATGTGAACACAGCAAGTGATACCATGTCCGTCCCTATATACCAAGTACTACCGTAGTAAGTGATGCAGTGGCCACTAACAGTCTGGGGATGATGTTCCCGGCGTACTGGACCAGTTCGTAGAGGTCGTGCAGCTTCTTTCCCTTCTCAAACTCCTCCACCAGATGCTGCTCCAAGTGAGTGAGCTGGTCACTGATACCCATGACTACACACAGCAGATGCCTGGTCAAGAAACTAACTCTCGTTATGAGGAGATGGCCACTCTAGGACTGACCCTCCGTTTAGTGTCAGGGAAACCATTTATTGTACATAGGAACCCTCTAAGGACACCTCTGAAATGAGAAAACTCCTCTAATAAGGACACCCTTTCTTTCTTAAAGAACAGGTCTTGCATGTTTGGATTAAAGGTCTTGCACTGTTTCAAAACACCTTTCTCATTTCAGGTGCTACAATTTACAAGAAAACTAGTATTACAACAGACAACTAAAAGTGGTAATACCCCAGCTAATTATGAACACATGTGCAGAATCATAGACCGGAAGCACACTTGCGAAAGGATACAGAGTTCGTAGTAGCTCTTGGGAGACAGCAGAGACGTCCTCAGCTCTCCCAGCATTGTCGACGCATGCTTCAAAGCATCCATGAGCTTATTGTTGTCCTGAGCAACGTGAAAGACAGACACACGAGAAGCGAGACGGACAATTACCAGTCGAGTGACGTCAAAGACCGAACACACACACACAGTACTCCATAGTGCCCCACAGGAGTAACATGATACATAGTGTGTAGCCTTATACCAATCATGTGCACACACAAGTATTGCTGTCCCGTCATGATGCTAGCCACACACACACAGCGCACTAATTTGTACATACTAACACAAGTCTGTATATCGGACATGATCTTTTGCTTTGGCACCACAAAACTCATGTATACATATAGCGGTTACAGCTTTCGTTTTCAATTCATCACAGGCACAACACCTTGCATCAACGTACACTGGTCCTCTTTGTTCAAGGCGCGCGGTGGAACAGTATAAACAAAACTTTTATGGGAAAATTTTCCAGAATGTGACAGTGCGAGAGACAGTGGTGGACAGGACTATTTACAGTTTGCTGCAAAAATGCTTGTTTTCACTGACTCAAGTCTTTTATCCCTCAAAGTTTCCCACTACAACACAGTTCATATACATTTTCTACAGGTTGTAGCTATGTATAAAGACTGACGTGTATGCATGGCATACCAGACAGGTCTTCATGTCGAAGGAGTTCTTCTTGACCGTGTTGAGGGCCTCGGAGAGGAGTTTCTCCTGGTCCTCTGTCCCTGCCAAACTGCCTCCTCCCTTCAACTGCGTCAGTGAGTGTGTGTTTGTATTGGTGGGTTGGGGTGGGTACTGGTGCCATAGCTCTTCATACATAACTTCTAGGGCGGGGGCATATCAAATCCGTGGATGCACAGGAGTTGGAGGTACACATGTACACGTTCATAAACTACGTATTTATCGTTACGTGTGTTTATACACGCTCCGTGTCACTGCTAGAGCCTCCTTCCTTACGCATGTACACGGCTTTGCTTCTTGCACACAAGTACACACACTGAACGGGTGCTCACCATTTTGCTCGGGCGTCGTAGATGTGTTGCGCTAGGAGGCAAGGCCCAATCAGGAGAGAAAGGGAGAGTACAGCAAAGCCAAAGAAGCTCAGGGAGGCGGAGGGAGGCGAGATCGAGAGCTCGGCGACAGAGAGAGAGCTCGATGCGTATGATCGTCACGTGTCCATTCCAGGGGGCGGGGCTGCAACGGTTGTTCTAATTATGAGAAAGATGTCAAATTGTCGTAACCGTGGAAACACAACACAGTCATCAGCTGAGCTGCTCCCCTGACCAGCCAGCTAGCCAATACAAGCCGGCTACTCTGTGTGTAGCGATGCAAGCAGAACCACCGGCAGCGGAGGTGTTCACGGACTACTCCCAATGGGAGCGGAGACCCTGCACAAAGTCATGGACCACCACCAGTGGAGGATGGAGCACCACCGGTCGAGGCAGAGTAGGCCTAGGGAAAACAACACACTCCAAGACCTGCAGACAGGATGCTCTGAAGGTGGCTGCAAGGCTCTCCCAGGGAAGTGTGATCGTTGATCCAGCACCGCAGCGTCTTCCAGTGTCCCCACAGTAGTCACTGCGGCCACAAAAAGACACTGGCCCAGCCTCGGCAGATCAGCACCTGTATCACTAGTCCGAGGAGAAAGATTGAAAAGGCAAAATCATCCACCGTGACAGCCAGGCATTCCATGAATCAAGTGAGTTGAACCCCTCGATTGTGACAAAATAACGAGCTCAGTGTTCTATGTTTGAGCAGATGCAGTTAAAGGTTAGACAGAAATCAGTTCAAGAATTCAGACAATATAAAGATGACTTGTATCCTGAAAATGCTAACCACTCACCCATGCACCAGCACACGTATGCACTACCTTATACAACCCTTAACTGTTGAAACAGACTGGCAGCTAATTTAGAACTGATAGGGACCATTCGGAAAGGTGAAGATGAAAAAGTGAGTTTGTCGCAATACTACCATTCCAACAATGATTGTGTTACCTTCTATTTTCTTAGAACGCTGTGGTCCAAGAACTACTTGAAAAGTACAGAAAATCGAGAGTATGCAACAGAGCATAGCAGTTAACATATCACACTGTGTGCACATTGTCCATGCTCTCACTCCCTGTCAGGGGTCAGTGGCAGCTCTGAAGAAGAAGACCCACAGAGACACGAAGGAGATTCAGACTGAGCTGGAGAGAACAAGGCAATGGGTCCTCCAGAAAGAAAATGGTACCATTCCGTCCATTACCCCTTACACAATAACCATCTCCAGATTAGTTTCAATTTTCACAGAGCGTTTTGTTTCCTGGAAACAGTTTTTCCTGATAACGATGTGTACTGCTGTATATGTAGATCACTTGAGATTCACCTATGACATATGGTGCTGTGTTTGTGAGCTTGTTTGATGCTCTCCAAATAGAACTCCACGAGGAACTGCGTGAGACGGAGCTCTTGCTCCAGGCAAAGATCAAAGAGCGGGACATACTCAAGAGTTTCAAAGTAAGCATCAACATACTTTAGTCTCTCTCCCGTGATATTATAGTGATACATTTCGGTACATGTTCTTGTTTAGGAGAAGAAGTTTATGGTGAACCAGGCTACAATAGATCAACTGAGAGATGAAATGAGAACTCACGCACACCTCAGCAAGGTCCATATAACCTACCCCCCTATAATTAACCACGAATCAGGACATGGTATATATTAATATTGCAGGAGAGAATAGCAGGACTGGAGGCTGAGATGGCAGAGGAGAGACACAAGTGCCAGAGGATGGTGGACCAGATCAGGAGAGAGATTGAGGCCCAGGCTACTGAGGTCAGGGCTACTTTCCCCCTAAACCACCAGATGTACATACTCATACAGCAATTTTGTTTCTTACAGAAGTGTATTGACGTGATGAAGAGAAGTGTCAAGGAGAAAGGAATTCAGAACAGAATCATGGAAAAGGTTACCATTGTGAAATATGCTCGTTTTGATAACCTGTTTTTTTTTTTATTGTGTACAGGAGATTGAATTGCATCGTTACAAGGCAGAGACAATGAGGCAGTCCATGCAAGATCTCAGAGAAAGGATTAGGTATACTGTGTACTGTCCATCATAGCCAGTGTCCATGTGATGCAGTTTACTTTCTGCTGCAGTCAGCTTAAAGTTGAAGTAGAGGTGGACAAAGCAAGAGTTCGCCCTCTAGTTCTACTAGAAAAGTGAGCCAGACACAATTCTGCACATAATTGTAGCTCACTCCTTCACAAATTTTCCCTAGGTGTCTACCGGACACGGAGCTACATCTGAATATTCCAGTCCAAGACTCTTAGCTATAGAGACATTTCAAGAATCCTCGTCTCAATTTAATTCATTGTGGGTCACTTTAATCATAGCATACCCAGCCGTTCAGACGAGGCATATCATTTGTGACGTAGGCAATGAAACTCGTCGACACTGATGAATTGTATCAGCTGTTACACTATTGCTAGGCAACAGAAAACGTACACACATGCCCACACATGAGGGCACCACACACACATAAAAAAAATAATAACACCCAAACCTAGAATACGACGATTACTTTTTCAAGTGTTTTTGTGTCTTCCATGTGATTTCTTGTGGCTTTTTCTATTCCTGGATGACTTGTGAGGTTTCTTGCCGGAACTGCCAGAGGCTGGGCGGGGCGAGTGTTCAGATGTGATGCTAGAAGAAGAGGCCGAGGAAGGGGGTGAGGTTTTACTGGTTGGACTGACTGGTGTACTGGGACTGGGAGACAATGTCTCTTGTAGTGGCTTGGTGGGACTTGGAGTGTGTTGTGTAGTGTTCTTTGATTTGGGGGTGTTGGGTCCAGCGGAAGATGGTCTGGTATGAGTGGATCTGCCAGTGGTACTTGGTTCAACTTTACTTGGTTTAGAATTGCTATCACCCACACCACTGACTCCTGCACCACAAGTAGGCTGTGTACAGGACTCAACATTGGGACTCTGTGTCAGTTTGGGTGTTTGGGAGAATATGGCCCCCACAAGGTCACGGTGATGACTGCTAGGAACCACCTCCTTTATCTCAACAGCACCTACCTCTTCTATACCCTCATTGACATTGCCTTCGATAGCCCCTCTATTCTCCACTGTTTCCTTCTGTACTGTGTCCTTTTCTCTAAATGAATTGTCTGTTTTTTGACCGGTAGTGTCAGCTGACATTTAGCAGGGGTTTTATTCCTCGGGTCTGTAAGAGAAGGGCACGGATTAGCAGATGCATCAGAGTTTGATGATCTCTTGCATTCAGAGATGCTAGAGAGAGGTGACGAAGTTCTTTTCACGACAGGAGGACAATCTTTAGTTGTCTGTGATAAATCTGGTAGTGAAGATGGGGGCGGCAATTGTGGCGGTGGTTGGACAGCAGTGGCAGTATATCCAGCTGGGAGACTGGTCTTACGACTCAGTCCAGTTCTACTTGACACTCTGGTGACTCCACTAGATGGTCTGACAGACTGGGCAGCAGAGTTGGCTCCACCATTTGACGACCTAACACCAGGCTGGTGAGGGTTGTTTGGCTGGAGGCTAGAAGAAGCAGTACTGTTTTGAGTACTGGCATTAGCACCGGTTGTATTGGCCGCAGCATTACGTCTGGCTATTCTTATTCGGCACTCTTCAAGCTTGGCCGTCTCCCTCTGGAGTCCAGCCATCTCAGCCAGTCTGATGTTAAATGTATGGTCACCACCCACTAGGACGGGGTCTGGGTATGGGAACGGCTCATCCGGCGGTGCAATCTTCTTGGGTGGTGCTGTCAGAGACCTAGGAACCATAACAAGTCTTCTTGCAAGTGAAAGATTAGAGAAATATACGTACCTGGCAAGTGGTCTGGACTGGATAGTAACTGAACATGCCTGTATTGAGAACACTGGGGCTGTACTTGACTTTCTGTGTCTCTCCTGTAAAAAAGTCAAGAGCACTTTTACATCTATCATACTCACAAAAAGTAGCTACACTGGAAACAGGCTACACTATTCCAGCAAACGTACATAAATGATCGGTCCGCTGCTGGTTCGTAGAAACTTTCCAGGTCCGGCAGTTGCCTGCTGTTGTGGTTGTATCCTGGGACCCAGGGGACCACTATAGGGTGTGGCGTGGTGGAGGTTGAAGCTGCTGTGAGACTTGGTAATCTTGGGAGGCAGTTTTGGTGTTGCTCTCTGCTGGCTAGCTGCAGATGAAGGCCTCTCAATGATCCGACCAGCAATCTACCGACAGCAGAGACACAATAACAATGCTGTAGTTTTTTTTCTCTAGGTGCTAACTTGAGGGATGTTCTCTGGAGGATTTTCCTCCATATCGGCCCTGGCTCTGAGTCTGTAGTTGTGCTCTGGACTCTTGAACTGTGACAGTCTCCACTTGAGCCGTCCACCTCCCGTTGACATGTACTGCTGCTGGTAGCCGCCGCCTGGCATCGCAGTCAGAACCACAGAAGGTCTGCAAGACAGGTAAAGAGAGGATTGCATGATTCCGTTGACTCGAATAGCTAGGCTATACCTGCAATACACGCCTTGGCGTGGTCCCACCTGGAGACAAGAAACTCCAGCCATAGCTGAAGTCGCCATTTCGCAGATGAGATCAAACTTTCTGCAAACTGCAGCTGAGTGGCTCAGCTGCAGCTCGGAGCCGAGCTCGGTTGCTATGAGCGTTGCTAAGATAACGGATCACGTGACTCGGTGCGCTCTTTTTAGAAAACATCCTGCAGGAAAGAGATGGCTGCAGTGGTGTTCAGATCTTTGGCTGCTTGTCCCTCGGCCGTGAGGGTTCAGAGTCTCAGGGGAGCAGTGAGGTGTAGTAGACATCTTAGTCTCTCATGGAGGAGGCAGCAAGATGACGTCACTCACACGGGCCAGGTAGAGCTGCGGGGTCAATATTGCTTCTTGTTTCCCAAGCCTTATAGTCTACGTACCGTTATCTAGTCTGAGTCTACTGGCACGTAAACGTTTCCTCTCCAGTACTGGGAGAAAGGGGACTACAGAAACGTGAGGTTTGTGGACAAGAAGAAGCAGGTGAACCAGCAGTTTGCCATTGACCTGGTGGCAGAGGAGCCTGTGGTGGTCATTGAGGGTAGCCACATCTTCTGCGATGGAGGACCGGCTCTCGGCCACCCAAAGGTCTTCATCAACCTGGACAGGCCTGAGATCCAGGACTGCGGCTACTGCGGGAAGAGATTTGTGGCAGAGAAGAACAAGGAACTGTTTAGCAACCAGTCTCTCACTTTCGTACACTAGTGACAAATGCACTCCCACTCAGCTCTGTATTCTGTGTATAATCCCAGATCAATAGATTTACGTGAATGTGGCAGGTGCCTGCAGAATGTATTGGTGAGCAAATAACCTATAGATGTTTGTTTTTTCTTGGGGAATTGAGCCCACATGCATAAATGGATGCATAATAGGCCTACAGACGCGTCTGCCCATTTTATATCACGTTTGGATGTAATGTGAAATTAAAGCGTGAGTGAAATGATGGGTGATGGATGTTGAGTGAGTGCTATAAAGTGGAGAAGGATTGGTCATAGAATGACTGGAGCAGTTTTCTCCTACGGACTTGGGCAGCTCTGGCCAGCACCCCCAGACTGTTGTTACAGTTCAACTCCGGCTGTCCTGCTATCTGTGTCTGCAGGGAGTTAATACACTTTTATCTAAGAGTCATACAGGGCCTCTACTCTAACACTGCCGCTATGTTGTGTGTGAGATTCTTACTGCAAGGCTCTGTTTGTTCTTGTCCCCTCTTTTAGCATTGATATCTAATTGGTGTCAAGGGAAATGGTTTTTTGCCACACAAAAGGCTCTGGGAAAAGCTAGGCTGTACGAAGTATTGAGTAATGTAAACTACATCTATGGAGCCTGCAATCGGACGTGAGGTGACATTAAAGTTCCCTTTCGTAGCATTGCAGCATCGATTCACAGAGAGACAAACATGGTTTGATTCCATGTCATATCTTCGCATTGCGTTCCATTTTGTGCTTTACGTGAAACAGGTTATATCAGTTGTCCTATATATACAGTCGAGTGAGGATACAAATGAGGTATTCAATGATAACCATGTCCCAGAAATACGTGAAGTAAGACTCCGCCATCAAACTGAGAGAGAGAGAGAGAGAGAGAGAGAGAGAGAGAGAGACGGAGAGAGTGGGAGAGAGAGAGAGAGAGAGAGAGTGGGAGGTAAGCAGCACAGCTGGGACTGGGAAACGGTCCAACCTGCTGTGAGTGCTGAGGAGAGAGAAGGCCAGCTCATAGTCCACCGGGACCAGTAGCTGACAGAGGAGAACAGCCTGTGGACAGGGTGTATGTATAAGCCAGTGGGAGAGATTCATAAAAGCAACCGTGTCAGAGAGAATCATATCTCACATGAGTGTGTAGGTTGAGCTGTGTGCAACAACGATCATCTTGCGATACACCTGCAGCAAAGAACACTAGCTAATTGCACGCGATGCTCAATTTTGAAGGAGTAGACAATGTAAGTTTCAGGAAAATATGTTTTACAGCTTAGGGTGTCAGCTACAAATCTTTTCATGCAGAAAAACTTCAGTCTTAAAATTTGGCAGTATTTAGTGCAGTGTATGTATGTACCTGCATGGACCAGACCAGTGGAGGGACTTCATCTTCGAAATGTCTCGAAGTCACAGCCCCAGCCTTCAGATAGTTCAGCAGTGCTGCCCCATACTTTCCAGTAGCTGTAGCCACAATAGCAGCAACACGTACACATCTACATAGGTGCAGCATATATAGTTAGCCATCGGTACCATAGTGTATCTCAGCGTGGAGGATCATCCACGAGTCATAGTTAGGGTGGACGGTGAGAGAATGATGGAGAGTTGACGACAGGGTTCTGAACACATGATCAGCATTCACACTCCCCGGACTATGGGGGCAGTGAGGGGTGGGAGAGACGGAGCAAGGATGGGGGAGAAAGGAAGGAGAGAGTGAACTAAGTCACATTGGTGGGTGAAGTTGCCAAACCTTCCAATCACTGTTGGCCAGTACATGGCATGTTCAACCATGAGTCCTATCTCTTCATCTGGTTTCTACACAACAGAGATCTCTTTCCACACGGCACCATACACTTAGCTCACACCACATACACCTCACATGACATTCTAACACTATGTGCTAGTGAAACGAACCTTTAGTATGCTCCATATCCTGACTAGAGCCATGAGCAGAAGAGAGAGACTACCAGGATCCTACACACAGTGGACTGACTCACTAACGCTGTATCGTGCCAACATAAATGATTACCAACCTCAAGATTCTCTACTAGAACATCAAACTGAGACCTGAAAGAGCACAAGTAAATAAAAATCCTGCGAATTTAAAAGAAGGAATAGGGATTCGACACTTGACAAAAGGAGAAGAAGAGAGAAGACAAAACTCCCTATCCATAGCCCCATACATCTATGATGCTAAGTACCATGCCCATCCCTATATACTAAGTACTACCGTACTTAGTGATACATTGTAACAGTGTGATTGTAAGCCCAGTATATACAGTAGGGCATGTGGTAGAGTGTGGCATAAAACAATACCGAAGTTGCAGTTGTTTGTGCCCAACTTCACTCCTCATCTCAGAGCTGACTGGTGTGGAAAACACACTCAGAACTGAGCAGTACGAGGGGAAAAGATATCCACAGTTCAAATGAATAGAGTAGGCACAGGTATAGGTATAGGTACTACGTACGTACCTGCACTGAAGACGTCCCTGATGGATTTCCTAGCGTCTCTGTCCTCTTTCATAGCCAGAGCTGCAATGGCGAGACGAGGAGCTACCTGCAAGAGAGTGGAACACACCTGTACACACACGTCGTGTGATGGTTACCTTCCCTGGGGTGAAGGGATGGTCAGAAGGAGATGAGGTGTTGGTAGTTGTGAGTGTTGAGGAGGAAAGCTGCAGCAAGACACACTGCCATTGGGTCTGTGGAGAGAGGGGGGGTGGTAGATGAAAAGACAAAGAGAGAAAGAGGAGAGGCAAGAGGGGTGAAGTAAGGGAGAGGGAAAGAGCAAGAGAATACCGCTCTATTAACAAAAGTGTCTGTCTGGACTAGACCCTCACCAGATCGGTCAGGGTGGGAGTAACTCCGTCGACAGAAGTTCTTTGCCTTGTCAGCCAGTCCACTGAATCTCTTAGATGACCTGCACATATCACAACCACAGCCACCACCCACTAAATCTCACTGCCACTGGACATACAGCAGAGCTGCTAAACACATGTTACTTTTAACGGACTAATGCTTGCTTGTTTTACTAACTTTCACGAGCTATTATCCCATAAGTTTTGATAGCATGAGTCCATAAGCACAGGCATGGATAGCTTACTTCACTCTAGATTACAAATCCACATGATGTACTATGAATAGTCACTGATGTTTGGAAAACTATGATGGATGGTTCATACACTTGGGAGCCCTGAAACAATCTCAGGGTTGCCTTGGACTGACCAGGGGAGACTGGGAGCAATAGAAGTTGAACTTACTCCTGGGGGGAGAGTGTCCTGGCCTCGAGGTTGGCTCCCTTCAGCTCCACCCAGAAGGCGATGTCCAGCAGGACCTGGTCAGGTTTGGGATGGGAGGAGGAGGAGGAGGAGGACTTGGTGTGGAGGGAAGAGGGCCTCGGCATGAGACCCAGGGCAGCTCGCAGGAACCTCCCACTTTCGGCGTAATTCTAAGTGTGGAATATATTATTCAATTTACATACTACATCGCCTATCCCTACTTTTGTATTTCTTATGCACACATGTGTGGAAAGTTAAGAAACCAACCATAGGGACTTGTAGCTAGAGTGTGGAATAGTGTGCATACTACCTTCCCCATACTGTATATACAGAACAACGCTCACATAATACCTGAGCTCTCTTCAACAGCTGGGCTCTGTGGACCATGGCGTTGTACTTGGTCAGGAGGACTAGGTCACTGATGAGGTCGGAGTTCATGAACTCGTCTCCAGGCCCCACCCACCTCAGAGCCAGGGTCTTGTGCTCCGAGGCTGGCAGGGACTTGAAACAGTCTTCAACAGCAGTCAGCAGGTCCTGTGAGAGAATGCACACACAGTGCTACACAGAGTATCGTACTCTTTCTTGCTGCACCCAGTGCTCATCCCAAACCAATCCCTACTTCATCTGCACCTTTCACTGTGTCTCTACCAATACCCCTATATATCCCCCTCCAATCCCCACCACCCACCCCCCTAATAAGGGTATCACTAGCCCTATCTTGCTGCACCTATCCCTACATATCTCGCCCAAATTTTGCTGTCCCCCCTAAATGAAGGTGTCAATGATTTAGCATTTTTTGTAGGCACAAGAGTGGAAGAAGAGACAAACCAACTATCCTTAATACTTTGACTACAGTTGGAGTATGGAATAGTAATATGCTCTATCTCGCTGCACTTATCCTTATCTGGCTTTACTAATGAAGTAATCCCTATCTCACCTTCATTTCAATTTTTTGTAGGCATGTGAATTGAAGAAGAGACAAACAAACTATCCCTAGTACTTTGACTACAGTTGGAGTATGGAATATTAAGTATGCCTGTATTACTGAACCTATCAACTGAAGCTGACCTGGCAGTTAGTGGCAGTGAGGATCCTCTTTTCATGGAGGAGGGAGAGAGAGGAAGAGGAGGAGGAGAAAGGAGGGACAGTGGTTGGTACAGGCATTGGTTTTGAAGGGAAGAGCCTCTCCATGAGCTCAGCATCCTGCAATGAAGACAGACAATTCATGTCACACGGGTGCACATACACACATAGTAGGAATATAATTCAGGAGCTGTCGATAAAGTTTTGTCCACAAAGTTAGCAGTTGTAAAGCAATCTGTCAAAGAGTTTTCTCTGCGAAATTCTTCTCCATCACTACATGGCTCCTCACTTGTTGAGTGGCTAGAGATTTGGCTGGAGAGTTGAGCAACATTTGCCACACTTTGCCTGGCTCTCTTGACTTACAGCAAACACTCCTTGAAGAGAGAGAGAGAGAGAGAGAGAGAGAGAGAGAGAGAGAGAGAGAGAGGGGGGGGGTGTTAAAGGGTGGGCGATTAAAGAATAGGCTGCTACTGGAAACATATACGTACCTGACAAATGTTTGCAACCTGAGAGTCTTGGTCGAGTCACTACGTTTCTTGTCCACCACTTCACCACACACCTAATGTAGGTAATGTGTACATACTGCCAGAGTAGACAACGTTGCATATAATCACATAAAATGCAATCCTGCAGTCTCTCTAGTTTACACTCACACCGTACGTATGTACATAGATGTATTATTTGGACAGTCACCATTCATAGCATCAGAAGATGCTTGGCGAAAGGGGGTATCTATATGCATACGTGAAATAGCAAACTGCGCATCGTCACATCTGGCCGTTGTTGCATGTGAGTCTGGGAAAAATTTATGAAGTTCCCACGCGAAAAAAAAAGTTATGTATGTATATACAGTGGTATGTGTGGAGCTCACGTGAAAGAGAAACTGATAGAGACTGGGGTCAACAGAGGGTGAGAGGGAGAGGGTCCAGAACGGGGGCTGGACCGGCTGAGCCTCCAGAGTTGCCCTCACGGCGTTGCACACGGCCACCCGAGAGTGGAGGGGGAGGGAAGAGCTGGCCAGACTGGGGTCCAGCTTGGCTCTCTTTGAGCTGGGTTCCTGGGGGGCGTCCTCGGCACGACGGGCCAGGTCTCGATGGAGCGACGTGCACGTAAGGAGGGGGATGGAGGGAGAGGTCAGATCCTGGATCAGTTGTTCCGGAACTTTCTGTGGACGCGAGCACAATACAAAGGCTCCAATAGCATGTCAACAACGAGCTGAACAAAGGCAAACAAATCAAACACACGGCAGTATAACTGAGGTTGTACAGGTGTATGGAATTGTAGTTGAATTGTGAGGTGATATGTTTATACATGCACAGTACTCCAGAAGTGTAGTATACCTCGATATCACCAATTTTGCAGAGTTCAAGTTTCTCGAGCAGAGTCTGTCTGCCACCACCGAGCCCCTCGCTCTCCATCTCTCCTTCCTCCTCCTCCTCTCCCTCCCTCCCAGCTGCCCTCCTCTTTGTCCGTACCTGAGCACAGGCAGAGGTGAACCCCCTCAGCTGGCCAGGGTCCACCAGAGGGGGACACCCTGACAGGATTTTCAGCTGACGGGCACACTCTCTTAACCGTGAGTGGGCCCTCTGGAAGTTGTCGTGCCAGAAATAGTGGCAGCCGAGACTGTAGTGTATCTGTGTGGAAGAATCAGAGACGTATGACTGTATGAAATCTGAACCCAGAGAAAGTATACGATCAAGCTGAACTATACGTACAACAATCTCATTAGATTCATCCATGGGTTGGCACTTTATGAGAAAGGCTTTAGTATAAACCACATCAACAAGTGCATGCAATTTTTTCTCCACACATACAACAGTGTATTAAATTTCTTCGTACACCCTCATTTGACCAACAGTATAATATTATACCACTAACAAACAACCAATGTATTGACATCAGTCAGTGAAGGAACAAAGGTGTGTCATACCTGACAGAGTATAGTGGGAGTGGAGAGAAGAGTGGGTGAGGAGGAGAGAGTGAGTTCCACAGAGTCCTCCCCTCCCTGGCTCCTCCTCCCCATGATAGGGAGACTCCCCCCACCACAGGGACCTGGTAGCCACGACAGTGCCGGCACACCTCCTCCAAGAACTCCACACAGTGAGACAACTGAGGCTCCAACTAGGGGAATAGGTAGTAGCCACAAGCTATGAGGACACATACATTCTCAGTGTAGTCATAAATACGGTATTAAAGGGTACCTGCAGGAATTTCAAAGTACATAACAAAACTCAAAACCTAGAGACACACTCATTGATAAAGACATTAAGCTTCCATGTGTCATAAGCAAGGTGGAAAGGCAGGGCAAAGCAGACAATCAAGGGACAGTTCTTTCTCTCCAAGGAAAAAGAAGCTGTCCTGGGTGGATTCGAACCCACAACACTCAGCTTTCAAGGCATGACCACAAAACCGTCGATCAATGTGGTTATAAAAGCAATGGGGATAGTGGTAGTAACTGACTCACTAGGGACTTGATTTGTTCAGGAGTGGCACAGGAGATGTCCCAGGAGTGTGAGAGGTGTCGGGGGTCAGGAGGGAGGTGGGAGAGGGTGAGGAACCTCACCACCCAGTGGCAGTAGAGAACGTGAGCCATCAGAGTTGCTGGAGGCTCTCTGGGGAGGTTGGAGTCCTCCTCCTCTTCCTCTTCCTCCTCCTGGTCGGTGGTGGGAGGGGGAGGGGGAGTGGTTCTGGCCGTGGTGAGTGGGTAGTGTTTTGTCAGTTGGACCAGTAGACTGTAGGACACCGCAGGCGGCAGGCTGGATCACAGGACGAGAGATACACAAACTGAAAAACACTGCACTATTGATACTTGTGTCCTACTACAAGCAAAAATTTCACAAATCGATTCAGTGACGAAATATTAGTGATTTGTATTAAATTTCCCCCAGAAACATTTGTAAAATGACCAAAATTTCAGCAGACATTCCTCACGGACCTCTTCTCAAAGAGGGCCAGGTCCCACTGCATGAAGGAGCCAATGAAGAGGGCACAGTTTACGAGTCTCTGTCGTCTCTCCTCCAGCACTGCTAGTCCCTCCACACCCTCCTTCCCTCCGTCACCTGGCGGCAGCAGGGTCTGACCCTCCAGAGCCCCTCCTTTCTCCAGGAAAGTCGCCACCAACTGGAGTCCAGTCGGCTCAACTGCGTAATGATAGCGTAACTATAGGGCCTTATTTGCAATGAAGTCTTACTGTTGGGGTTATCTTCGAGGGTTTTGATGTGCTGCTTGAACTTTTCCGGCCGTAGGACAAGGTCGAACCAAGACAGGGGAAGGTCTTTGGCTTTGGCAATCTTTATCTCGAACTCAGCCGCCATGGCTGCTGGACAGTCTTCCCCACAGGCACCTCTAACACTGCCAGACGACGGAGTAATTGGTTCACATTTCCTTTTCTTGCAAAGCCAAAGGCAAAGACTTGACACTGAAACGCGCCATGTGTTATTGTTCTATTTAGCGCGCGCCCTAGTGTAGAAATTGAGGGGGCGTTACACAGGGCACCATGGAAGAAGGTAACTTTTCTTGTGAGGGATATTTGCATACTTTTCGGTGGACAGCAGGTGTGAGGTGCCAGCTGCTGGAGCTGAAGAAAGAGCTCAAGTGTTGGGAGGCAATGTTCCAGAGGAAACATGGAAGAAAACCAAACAAAGTGAGTTGCCCATAATGTGGTACTGTAAATGCAAAGGACTCTGTATAATGCAGGAGGATGTGACCAAAGCCCTGCTGAAATAAAGGGTATAGGATGATGTTTGTGTTTACATTATGGATGATACACACTCCACCAACCATCACAGATACCTACAGACAGTACCAGAGATTGAAATCTGGAGGACAGAAAGTTGAAATATCAGGGAACCCAGAGGATGACACCAATGGAATTAGTACAGCACATATAACTGTGAGTATATAATAACCACCACCAGAATACTCTTCCAGGGTGATCGTTTCAAAGGGTCTGAGGTAACTGCAGAGAATCATTGTAGTGCACAAGCAGGCTCTAATTGCACTTTGCCCTTTTGCGCCAAGGTTTTTCAGTTACTTTGGCATGCAGTAAAGGACGAGCTATCATAGTTGTCTCTACCTTTTTCTCCATCTTACACTTTACGGTGTATCATTCTAGGGTGAGACTGCCACTGCAGATGAAGTGTTTGGGTGCCATCTGAACAAGAAGAAAGAAGTGAAGGAAGCGGGTGCTGATGGAGAGGGGAGAGAGAGGGAGAGGAAAGGGCAAAATGTGGAAGCTTCGTAAGTGGACCAAGAATGGCGGGTACAAGACGGTCGTGGGTGCGACAGCTTCAAGTCCCCTGGAGACTAATGACCAGGGAAAACATCTCCCTGAAGAGAGAGATGTAGCAGAAATGGAAGACATTTCGGCTCCAAAAACAGCCCAGAAGGTCCATATTATTGTCATTAGCTAATATTGTCATTAGCTGATGTTTAATTCTGTGGCATTTATAGTCCATTGATGTTGATGCTGAGTTGAACAAACTGTCGCAGAAGATCAACATGAAGATATCCCAATCGCCACAGAAGAAACCTCAGAGGTATTATAACAGCTACGTACTGAGTGGCGAGTGAGATAATCGTTGTAGGCAGCGCTAAAAACGTGTAAACTGAATAAATTTCTTCATTCGTTGCATTGTTCTAGCAGTAGCATGTATTGTCCTTGCAGTACGGAGACCGAAAAGTATGCTGTCATGCAGCACCACGGACAAGGTGCTGCTGCCACCAGACCCAGAATGGGCTACAATCTCTCCAGCCACTGGCTGCAGAGATGCAAGCCTGACCTCGGCTCCCCGACTGATACTGTCCCGTCCACAGAGAGAGTTTCACTGGGTGACAGTGACCTGTGTGATGATGGAAGACAATGCAAAGAACGAGAAAGTGAAGAAAAACATTCAGAAGGCTGTAGTGATGACAACAGGAAAGGTATTGTGGAGGGGTTAGGGTTTGATTTGGCAGTACTGGCTGAGGAAGAATTGGTGGTGGAAGATGAAGAGGTCGAGATTGTGGAAGAGAGTGAAGTTGTTACTAGCACAGGAGAAGAAGAAGGGAAAGAACAAGAGACTGAAGAAGAGACTGGAGAGGAAGAAAGAAGACGAAGAAGAGGATGACAATGATGGATGGGATGGGAGGCTGCAGGGATCAAGCAGTACACTCATCTTTGACCCAGCCACAAGACATGGCGACTGTACACCACTTGCCAACCACGTCAGCAAAGGCTTAAATAGTCTTCCCAGTCCACCACCCGTTCCTCTTACTCTCACTGCTGCACCAACACCCACTCCAAAGCCAGTAACAGACACAATCCCAACCAAACCAGTGGGAGACAGCTCTAAATCTCTGTCGTGTCTGCCTCACTCTTCCAGCCTATCTCCTCCTCCCAGCAGCAGATACAGTAGTGGTCTGAGACTCTTGGAAAAGGTTTCTACTGCCACTGCTATACCAACACCCATTCCCAAATCAGTAACTCTAACCAAGCCATTGGATGATGTCTCTAATTCTGCATCAAATCTGCCCCACTCTTCCAGCCTATCCCCTCTGCCAAGCACTGGTCTGAGTCTCTTGGAAAATGTTTCTGCTCCCACCGCCACACCGAAAAGTACTGCAAAGCCTGAAACAGTCACAAAACCAGTGGAAGACAGCTCTAAACCTCTGTCAAGTCCTCATCACTCTGTCCCTCCACCCTCCACCAGCAGCAGCAGTAGTACTCTCGGACTATTGGAAAAGAAGGAGAGCTATGTATCTGTGTCTGCCTCACTGGGGCCAAAGACCTGGCAGTCCAGAAACCGCAGCAACTGGAGATTGCTCGATGCTACCTGTAGTGGAGGTGAACCAACAATTCTACAGAAAGAGAGTGGTATAGGACACAAGACAAAAGGTGTGACTTTCTTTGATGATCTACAGAAAGCTGATGATGCGATCGATTCCACCACCAAGCCTCCTAAAAACCAAGGGAAAGGCTCCCTCCAAAAGAAGCCAATCTTCCCATATTGGCAGGAGCTCCCCTCCATCAGTGGCTCCAGTGTTCACATCCAGTGCCGTGAGCGATAACTTTGTCCGCCTCAACCTCAAAGTCAAACGCTTCAGTCGCAAACCAGGCAGTGTTATCAGTGGGTCTGCCTACAAGAGGAAGATGTGGAAAAAGTCACAGAGAGGCAGTTACGGAGGAGGAGGAGGAGGAGGTGGTGGTGGAAGGGGAGGAGGAAGCAATGCTTGTTTCAAATGTGGTAAGCCGGGCCACTGGGCAAAGAACTGCACTGAGGGAGTTGGTTCAAAGAACTTGGGCTGTTTCGCTGGTGAGAAGGTCCAGTTCTCTGAGACAGTGGAGGAGGTAGCAGAGCTGGATAGAGAAGGTCTCCATCGACTGGCTAAGGAGAGTCCTTTCCCCAGTACAAGAGAGGCGGCTGTGATGGCACGGGGAGTGAGTCTGGCTCAGAGCAGGGTGGAGAAGGGGCCAGAGAGGACCAGTGGTGGTGGGGAGGCTGAGTGTTTCCAGCCTCTTCCTCCGTGCAGGGTCTCATCCCCCACTCCTCCTGCTCCGATGGAACCTCTCTTCCCTCCCAACCAACCCTCAGGTGATGGTTTAGTATGAACCCTCTGTATGTAACACACCAATCATACACGTACAGAGGTGGAGAGAGAGATGATAGTTGCACTGAGAAAACTTGGTCACCAGTCTTTTCGTCCCGGCCAGGCTGACGCCATATCCAGGATCCTATCAGGTTAGCTGACCATGACTGTGTGTATGTATCTGTTCAATTTATTTCATGTTCAGGTAACATTTTGAGAGAGAGAGAGCAATTCTGTATCCTCAGGTTTATTTGAGCTTTGCATTTGCTTTCTACTTGATATTTAGATCTCCGTCCACTTTTTTTGTGTATAAAACATTTCGTAGATGGTGTGAAATGCATGCAACTTTTGTGCCGCAAAAGTTTCCTTGCATACATATGTGCAGGGGTGTCTACGCTTCTGGTGCAGCCGACTGGGTCGGGCAAGTCTCTCTGCTACCAGCTGCCAGCCTACCTCTACTGCCAGAGGTCCTCTTGCATCACTCTTGTCATCTCACCCCTCGTCTCTCTCATGGAAGACCAGGTATACTATTGCCCCATGTCTCTTACTACCACCTCAGCTGTAATGATTCAATATACATGAGCGCTACAGAGTGAACAAGTGGAAATGTAACGGATTATTGGCAAGCAAACGCGAGTGCGTAAATTGTGGTGGTTTTATACGTGTTGTGTATTAGTACGAATTACAATGTTGAGCATTGCGGTACGGACACTGCCAATCGTGTAAGTCAGAACACTATATGCAATGAGGTTCTCTTTGTTCCTTGCCAGTCACTTCTGTGAATAGGCGGGTTGCAGTTGTACACTACTAACAAAAACTATGTGGGTGGTGCACAACGGTCAGTTCTTCATGTAAGACTAAGTTTTGAGTCACGAAATCTGCTGGTCAGCATTTTCATTGTTCTTAGCTCGTAATCCATGTTCATAACCTGTTTTTCTTATGGCATACTATGCATTGGGTAACCAACAACAAATTTCATGACTTAAAACTTAGTCTTAACAAGGTGCACAACTCCATTATACAATCTCTGCCCAGGTCGTCAGTTCCCAGTCTGTCTGAAGGGGGCGTGTCTCCACACGAACCAGACGCAGGCCCAGAGGCAGAGGATCACGGGTGACGTGGCGGAGGGCCGGGTCGACGTTCTACTGCTGTCCCCCGAGGCCCTCGTGTCTGGAGCCTTCTGGAGTGGCTGGGCCCGTGGGACTCTCTCCAGACTCCCGCCAGTGGCCTTTGCCTGCATCGACGAGGCTCACTGTGTCTCGGAGTGGAGCCACAACTTCAGGCCGTCCTACCTCAGAGTTCACAAGGTTCACACCATGACTTGTAATAGCTGGTCCTTTTCCACACTTTCTTCCTCACTTCAATATTGCTTATGCTACATAGGTGCCCAGTACACTTCTCCAAAACTTATTTCTTAGTGTGTATTGTAAATATGTCAGCATTATGGCTCCGCCTGAAAATCTCCTGTTCAGTATCACTAGTACAGTACTGGTTTGGCAGCATTTACATTTGAAATCAGTTTCCTCTCAAATACACATGAAACCATTCCCCACGGCCAGGTACTGAGGGAGAGACTGGGAGTCCAGTGTGTCCTTGGTCTCACGGCAACAGCCACCAGGACCACGGCCCTCTCGGTGGCCTCTCACCTCAACGTGTCCCCTGAGAACATCCTCCCTGGCTCCACCATCCCCAGCAACCTCCACGTCACCGCCTCCTGTGACGACAACAGAGACGACGTGAGCTTCTACTGTAGTGTAGCCCAACCCACCGCCCCAGTTCTCAAGGACAAGCACATATATTGTCATACATATATACTCTCATCCTTGTGTGCAGCTGTATTGATGTTTATGTTGTGTTCGTACATGTGAGTAGGGGAGAGGAGAACGTCCATTTTTATCTTTTGGCTAGTAAGTTCGCTGTTGCATTACCATTCAATTCACAAGATGTTTCCATTGTTTATTTGACCCATCCGTATAACTAATGCCGTAATACGTGAAAGAGAGTTTCACTAATGCGATGCACTAAAACCATAAGTATGTACGGTGTTGTTACCCTCGTCCCTCACCCTCTGTTACAGGCTCTCCAGCAGCTGTTGCAGAGCTCAAGAATGAGAGACTGTCAGTCCATCATCATCTACTGCACCAGACAAATGGAGACGGAGAGGGTCGCTCAACTCCTGAGAACGTCTCTCCAGTTCTTCCCGACTCACCGCGACGGAGACCAGGACACAGATAATGACAGGGAGGTCCCCACTGACGAGGACGGTACTAGCAGTGAGCCTGAACCGAGTAGTACTACAAGGAGAAAGAGGGGCAGGGGGACGTCAAAGACGGGTAGTCAGGGAGGAAAGAAGCAAGAAGGCCAGGTTGGAGTGGTCGGTGGAGAGCTACCACGCGGGGATGTCGGAAGGCGAGCGGAAGAGAATCCAGTTGGCGTTCATGACGGGGAGACTGAGGATGGTGGTGGCCACGGTGGCATTTGGGATGGGGCTGAACAAGTCAGACGTCAGGGCCATCATCCACTACAACGTTCCCAAGAGTTTCGAGTCCTACGTCCAAGAGATTGGGAGAGCCGGTAGAGATGGGGAGCCAGCCTACTGCCACGTGTTCATTGACAAACAGGTCGGTATACTGCATAAGTCTTTTACAAGCAGGATTATGTGTTCATGAAAATGTCCATTTGTTTGAAGAAAGTGATTCACCATTCACGAAATTTGCCATCCATATCCTGCTACGTATACAGTATGAGCTCCAGTCTATCTGATCTGTCTCACAGGGAAAGGATTTGTGCGAACTTCGTCGACATGCCTACAGCAACACAGTCGACCCGTACTCGGTGAAGCGGCTGGTCACGAAGGTGTTTCTCTCCTGTCACTGCAAGCCAGCTGCGGCAGCTGACTCTGACGGAGACAGTGGCGGCCCTCTGCAGCCACTCTCTGCCCCCGACCGATGCTGTCCCGGTCACGAAGTCTCAGTCCCAATAGAGGGCATGGTTCAGACACTGGATGTGAAAGAGGAGTGTATTCAGACCCTGCTGTGCTACCTGGAGCTCCAGGGCTGGCTGGAGATGAAGGGGACAGTCAAGGATCTCTGTAGTCTCAAGTGCTACGGTGGACCTCGACAGCTGAGGGCTCTGGCTCAGAAGGTGCCTGCAGTAGCTGCCGCGTCTGCCAGAATACGGGAAACAGGTTAGCACATCATGCTGCATGGTTTGCAAGATGGGCTAGAAGGTGCTTAGTGCCAGGTTTCTGACGTCTTTGCAGAGTGTCAGTTTCAGAGGTTGCAGTTGCCCATTTATACCCACTATTTGTTGTGACTTACCAACGACTAGTCGCACATGAGTTTACATCCCCCCCCCACACACACACACCACAGGGACCTGCCTGGACATGCAGAGCTCCATCAGCTTCTCGTGCATCGAGGTGGCCAGTTCCATGGGCTGGGAGTCGCACATCCTCCGCAGCGAGCTACGCGACCTCCAGTTCAACGATCGCGGGACCGGATCCTCTTCCTCCTCCTCAAAAAACAACTCTGGTAGCTCCATTCTGGTGGAGTTCAGTGATCCTTCGTTTCACCTGGTGTCCCCCGGTGATCTGAGCCCCGAGCAGCTAGACTACGTCTGTGACCATCTCCAGAGCAGAGTGAAGGCACAGGAAACACTGCAAGTGGACAAACTCCACCTGCTCTACAGCGTACTACGCTCGGTCGCCTTCCGCGACATTTACGAGTACTTTGCAGACGACGAGACGACCTCGTCTGCACAGGGGCGCCTCATGGGACTCGTCAATGACTATTTTGAAGACATTTTAGACTGTGCAACGGCCCCAGAGAGAGGCATAAGCGTATTGAAACTTCCGTCTGAGGTCCCGGCTGAATTAGAAGCGGAGATCTCGCGTGATGTCTACAGTCTGATGTCAATTCACTCGGAGAGGAACTTTTCCGGCCGAACTATTGCTAGGATCTTTCACGGCATCGCTAGTCCGTGTTTCCCGGCGCAGGTGTGGGCCAAACAGCAGCGGTTCTGGAGGCGACACCTCTCAGTGGACTTCAACACCTTGTGCAGGATTGCCACCAAAGTCACCCTCCAGATCCTGCATACATAGCTAGTACATCAAGGCCATCCTTGTAATGGTCAAAATCTGCATCTGTGTATATACACATGTATATAACTACGAAATTTTAACGTGTCCCACGTACAGTGGGATACTGGTGCACCATTTTCACAGCAGCGGCGTTGAACTATTACAACCTGTCAAATCGCTATAATGACTGGTCTTAGCCTTGTTCCCAGGCTAACTGTTCCGCATGCGCAATGATCATGCACCAAACAGTAATCGTGGAAGCCCTGAGAACGAGGCTATAATATAATATTATAAGTTGCCTGCCAATGACTAAGTATGTGCTCAAACCCATTATGATATCATGACAGCAGTATCTAGCTATACCATAGATTAAACAGTAGAGTAGAGCAGTGTGTGAGTGGCTATGGGAGTTTCTTCTCGTCTTGATACTGATAGTGGAGTTCCTTCACGTCAGTCTGTGAGACCTTCACCCATCCTGTCTCCATCATGTGGTACACTGGGGAAGAAGGGGGAATAGCACACAACTCAGACATAATGTATAAACAAACGTTATGGCGGTTTCACAAAGTTTTGTGCACAAATTATGAAGCTGTTAGGTCATAACTAAACAATTGGCAAGTGAAGCAGTCTGACCTAGTCGTTTGATTTTATAATGTGACGTGCACTGCACACCTCTATACGTGTTTCCGAATAAACACTGAACTGCTTGCCACCTTGGCAAAAGTGTGTTGCATTTGCTAGTTTGAGGAGAGAAAAGAAGCCAACTGGGTTCCTGGTTTATTTGAAAATCTGGAGCTTCTCTTTCCGCCACCTAGCTATAGCTCATAATGCGGATGGCTACTCTATAGTTGGCTCACAGTTGACTACTCCTCCGCTGTAGGCGTCTCTGTGAGTGGCGTGGTAGATGGCCCTCTTCCCCAGGTCCCTGGCCTCCTCCACTGACATGTCATAGCTGTAGCTGCTGTCCAGCACACCATAGGCATACGTGGAGCCAGAGCCAACACTAAACATGTGGTGGGTGAGGCGCGTCCCATCTGAGTCCACATAGTACAGTCCAGGACCCTGTAGGTGAAGACGTGGGTATATATATATAGAGTCCAGGGTTCATCTTACATAATGCAGTGTAATCTCTTCTTTCGCGAAGAATATTTTAACAGATGGCTTGTCTAGTCTTCTGTCCAAGCATGCTGGCTCCCAAACTATAAAGATAGTCCTCACTAGCGACTTCGACAGTTAAGAGATGGGCTTTGTGAGCCAGCTACATACCATATTTCCTGAAGCTAACACATAGAACTATTTTTGCATTAGCTATACCTTTTTGTCCCATCCACAGATCATAGTCCCCTACAGAAAGAGAGGACACCTGTAGGGCACAGTCCCATACACACAGGCGAGGTCTCTTACCATAGACAGACCCATTCCCTTGTAGCGGTACACCATGTTGGAGAGAATCTTCGAGGCTGCAGCTACTGATATCCTCTCCCCGTTTCGTAGCTCATACACTCTGTAATTTAACAATAACAACAGCAAAACTTCGTCAAAAGAGAATGCAGCAAGTTTGAATTTATACCTGCAGCTAAATGCCAGTTGCCTCTCCCAGTAGGCACAGTCGGCTGCCCCACCAGCCATCGTCCCCAGCAGGTATGGATTGATCTCGATCACCTTTTTCACCGTCTGAGACGCGATCCACGAGCCAGCCGTGGCCCGTGAGTCTACAGCTACTATCACGCCATGCTGGAACTTGAAAGCCAGCGTCGTGGTTCCGTGGGCAAACTCAATCTTTACTCCGCCCTCGCCGGAGGAGAACCGCTGAAGAAACTCCACTGGCTGGGGAAACGAGAGAAGCTCGTAAAAAAACAGCGAGCACGCGAGTTGTTCTTATTATCGCACACCCACCTCGATCCCTGGAGGAACGGCGAATCTCCGTGGGTGTGCGCTTTCCGACATCAGAGGGAGATCTACGAGCGGGTCTTCATCTCTCCAAGCAGCCGTTCTTTCCAGGAAACTAGCTGGAGAGAGCGACGAGTAATGTTCAGCCAGAGCTTGAGCCATCGCGGTCTCGTTTTTGCTGAGTCCTCCCGTACGTTTGCGCATGCGTAGAGTCGCGTGCATGTCGTCGATCGATCGTGTGTGTGTGTATAGAGAAGAGAAGAGCTGACCGTACTCATGACCTTCAGGCCGGACCGAGACAAGCTGAACGCCCACTTCGAGGGCTACAGGCTTGGCAGGAGGACCCTGACCTGCGTGACGCAGTCGTTTGCCGAGGACGTGAGCGTAGCGCGACTCAAGGGAGACGATTTGGGCTACCAGCATGTCCGAGCCTTCACCCTCCACAACCATCTCGCCACTGACCCTTGGGACGGAGACAGCGTCTACTGGTGCACCAGCAACGGGGCCATCTTAAGAGGAAGATATTTTGTAAGACTTGACCCTTTATGGGTTTACAGCTCGCTTGTCAACTCCTCGGTCAACTCCCTTGTGCATGTAGTTTGCATATCCATTCCCTCCACGTAGGGTTCTCAAGGTGTAAAGGTGAACACCGTGTTCCAGTTTCCTGCAAGAGAGGGTCTGCTCTCCCCCAGTCATCAATCCTTCCGTGCTGTTCATAACCTCTCACCTCTGTCTCTTTACCACTGGAGCCAGCTCGTCAGTCAACCTCCTGCACACCCCCCTCGTGGAGCCGGTGGAGATGATCCAAGTGACGAGAACGAGGAGCTTTGGAAGTTACTGGAGGAGTTGAAACTTCCCGAGGAAGAGCCGTTCAGTATCCTTTCAGCCTCGTACAGCGAGACAGAGCATCAGCTAAACCTGGTCACGATGACACTTCAGAGTGCTCATTCGGCCTCAACCAACGGAAATGAGGAACCGTCAGAATCTAAGCCACCGATTGCAACGTACAACTGGTATCGTGCGATATCCATCTCCATTCGTCTCCGGCTCAACCATGCAGCAGTCAAAGCGAGAAAGAGGAGTCAGTGTGTACCGAACCTGACCTAGTGTGCTCTCTCCAGTCCTCTACTGTGGCACTCTATGGAGCCTTTGCCCTAAAGAACCTCGTTATACTTAGTGAGGCTGATGTTCTATATCCCAGTCAGCTAGCGGCAACTGAGAAAGTGGAAGAAACAGAAAAGGAAGGGGAAACAGAGAAGTCTGATTCAGAGCAGTTGACTGAGGAAATCCAGACAGCAGAGGGGGAAGATAAGATATTCACAGGGCTTGGGTTTGAGGGGAAACGGGAGGAGGGGGAGAAGATGGAGATGGAGAAGATGGAGGGTGAAAAGGAGGGGGAGAGGGAGAAAAGAGAGGGTGAAAAGATGGAGGGGGAGAAGAGGAAGGAGGGGAGAGGGAGAGAGGAGGGTGAACAGATGGAGAGGGAGAAGAGGGAAGAGGAGGGGGAGAGGGAGAAGAGAGAGGGGTTCAGAAGAGCCACAGTATCAGTGGAGTCAGACAGAAGGTGACGTGGCTATATACTGTTCCACTCCCTGAGGATGTGAGCAAACGAGACATCCACTGCGAGATTCACCGACGTGAGATTGTAGTGGGGCTGAGCGATGGAACCACCTTCTTGAGAGGTGTGCTGTTTGCACCCATTAGTCCAGACTGCAGCACATGGACCGTGGAGAAACACACGTAAGACCTATTCAGAGTAAACCCTGCTCAGTTTTTTTCACAAGTGTAAACGTGAAAACTGATGGCAAAAGAAACTCAGCTATGTACTGTAGTGGAACCCCTCTCAAAGCGTAACCCTGAAAAGAAAACAACTTTTCATCCCCCATGAGCACTTCTTGCTTGCAATTCAACCCGTGAAATAAATCCCATTGCTTTATGGATTAGCTGTAGCAGGCTGTGTAATGCCAGCATGTCTGTTTCCATCCACCCAGTCTGGAGGTGAGTCTGGAGAAGGAGAGAGAGGGAGAGTGGGAGCGTCTCCTGACTGGAGAGGCAGATGATGAGGGAGAGAGAAGTGCAATACCTCTCAGGGGACCAGTTGCCGAACAACTTAGCTCCGAAGAGTTAGAGAAGCTCAGGAAGAGGATTGAGATGGCTACCAACGAAGTAAAATACACATGATACCAATACCACTTGTGCCGGTATCGTATATAAGTACTAGCTCCTGCAACAAAATTACGATTTGTATATGAAGGTTAGGGGGAGCTTTCACCTTACCTGAGTGAAGGCTCTGCATCTTTCACATAGTGAACCATGCTGATTAATACAACTTCTAGCCCAGCCCCCTTCTCCTCTCCACAGGGGTCCCTAGCAGAGGCTGCTGCCAACCATCACTCCCTAGTACAGGGGATGTTCTATGAGGAGTGCGATATCAACGACGAAGATGCTACTTTTTACATCTTCACCGCCACCACCACCCCAGAGCCTCAGAGGGTATATAGGTTACAATTCCTCTCTCCCCCTGTCCCCTAGTCAATATTATACACTGGAAGATGCTCCAGTACCTGGCACTGTTACATTGTGTATTCAGCAGAACTCCTCTTACAGTATCTTGACAAGAACGGGGGATAGAATCAGGAGTTAAATTATGACTGTCCTGGGGAAACAGACATTGTCCTTCATGGAGAGGTGTCCTGATTTTCCAGGGATTCCTTAGAGGAAAGGATCCACTTAAATGTATATAAATGCCACTGTATCAGAGAAACTGGTACAACATTGGGGTAAAGAAGGTGTCAACTCTTTTGCAGGTGCCGCTTGCTGGTCGTCAGTTTCTCTTCTCCTCGCCCTCTCTCCCACAAGCTCCACCCCTCGTCTGTCTCAAACATGACGTGGACGCTGTTCTCTGGCAGCCAGAAACTCCGCCCACAAGCGACAGCTCGGACACGCCCCTCATCACCTGGAAACACGTGGGAACCTTCAACGCTCTGGCCTACGTCCAAGCCGCACGACAGGACAAGAAATTCACAGTGTGCCCTCCAAACATGAAGTTTGCCGCACTGTGTGACTGCAGTCACCACGTCTTTGTGTACCTGCAGCCACGGGAGGGCGTGAAGGGGAACAGTGCGGCACAGTACGTAACGACCCTGAAATCACAGGAGGACATCCTGGGATTGGGGGCCACTGATTGTGGACTGCTTTTTGTTCTCAAGGAGCACGAACTACACGTCATCGTAGTTCAATCCTGAACATTTTTACATACCAATCCCCTTAAAGCATTCATCTTAATTTTTCACTCATCCATGACACGTGTACATCATAATGTGAATAAATAATACGAACACCTGCAAAATGCACCATTGGGAATTGACAGATGCTGGTATGGACCAGCATAGAGAACAGATAGTATCAATTCGGTTCTAACGAAGTCTCTTCAAGAATTCTCTGTGCTACAAACTCCACTCCTCTCCTTCCCTGCAAACAGAATAGATCTTGTCTGACATTAACACTTAACCAGCCACTGACACATAATGTGTCCAGAGCCTCCATCAGTCCATAAGAATTTATATGTGGGTTATACTACTAGGTGTTAATACTTTATACATCAATTTCTGCTTATTTAAGCAGATACCCATGGCGTCCAAAGGGTTAACAGAATAGATCTTGTTGGTGTTACATGGTTGACCGTGGCATGTTGTAATCCTTACTCCATAGTATTGTGCTTGGCATTAATTAAGATACCGTGCTTGCATTGGGCAGTATAATATTTACGACAAAACTGTATTTGGTGTATATACTAATAGTCAAAGGCACAAGATTTTCAGCTGCTCACTAACATTAGAGACAGTAGAGGAGTAGTTGTGAATGAATAATCTCTCCAGGAGGTCCCCCAGTAACGGCACTCCGTGTACAGACACCCTAGCTGTCTGACATAGCACAGTCCTGGGCATGTGTGTGGAACATGAGAGAGTAGGAGACATGATGGGAGATGCAGCCATCATTGATTCAGCTGCCTAGCCCAGCAATCACCACGTGGAAAAGGAAGTTTATTGACCACAATAATGACACATTTCCTGGTCCTAGGTTGTTGAAGATCAGATCACAAAAAGAGGTAATCAATATCACGCGCATTCCTAGTCTATATACGCACCTCTCAGTCTTACCTCAATTACTATACTATGGTGATAGGATCAAGATTTATTGTCAAAAATACCAGACATTGTTGTTAGAGAGGACCGTACTTGACACAGCAGACAGGACACTTCAGTTTTCCAAAACCGCAATACCAAGTCTTACGTGGTCGGGTCCTCTGGATTGACTCTGTACTCCAGTGTTTCTTGTACCGTAAAAAGGTTGGCTAGCGTTATCTGCAGCAGCAACAAAATGTAAGAGCATTGATGTACGTGATTGTAACATCACATACATTTTTGGCTTGGATGGTGAGCGTTTTCTTGCGTGGGTCACAGAGCGACTGTTCATGACTCTCATCACTGGGTTACTTCCTATAATCTGTTTGAATAAATTGAACTGCTAGACTCAAAGACACACACACACACACACTTACACAGCATACACAGGCTATGTGGCAAGATGATCAAACGTACATTGAGAGCTATGGTGGGAACACTCCATATGGTTCCAAAGATGCGCTGGCTAAAGAGCCCACCAGTCGAGGTCACTCTCCTCTGAATGGTGTCTAGTGTGTGTACATTTGATAATGTGAGTGGTGGTTTTGTTTTGGACTCCTCCTGTCATGCGGCCGCCACCTATGCAGTCTCACCTATGGATGACTGTGGACACATCCGAGATTGATAGGTTATAAAGTCTTCTTTCCCTTATGAAGGGAACCGATCAAGACTACTACCGTGACAAACCCACAACATTCGGCCTACCACATGTACAGTACTGTCCGTACGCACATGAAACAAAGCGTAGAATGCGCATGTTAGAGAGCACGCAGCCACACGATACTCACCTGAATAAAGTACGAATACATCTTCTCACTCCTTACATCCTCCGGTCGTTGGGTGCCGCTGCTTGCTTGGACGCAAGTGTTGTAAAAGAATCTGCGGCCATACTGGCGATCAACGGAACATAACCACGTCTCTCCATGCGCTAGTGGAGGAAAAGGTTAATTATATTTCCTATATGCCCTAGTCATACAGTCACAAAAATAAGGGCTGCGCCCGCACGAAGAGGAAGGCGGTCCCCCTTCGGAGAGAGGTGTCGTGTTGCAGGAAGGATTGCATTCTGAACAGTTGCAGCGCCGCGGCCTGTGCCTATAAGACATGGCCTCGAGGCACGATGCAGCTGCCGACCCTGCTCCCAGGCGTAGGGCACCACACAACAAGCAGCGACGTTGTAATCATTAAGTCACCAAGACATCCCCAGTGCACCAGAGAGTACCAGGGAACGAGGTGCTAGCATTTTTCTATTCGCTTTTGCAAACCAAGATCTTGCATGGCAGAAGCTGCATAATATCAGTAATACTGCAGCTTAGTGGTTTGCTCAACTCTTTTTGCAAATGCTCAGCGATATAATTTAGCTAAATTGCATACAAGATCTTGCATTGCAGCCACCTTAGCTTCCAATTTTTCAGGGAGACTAGCTTTATGGGGTTTGTTTATCTATACGCAGCACACGCCGTCAGCCTACCTGGCACAGATGAGGATGAATACCGGGGAAAGACTGGGCACAGTCACCGAGATGTATCCTCCCACCATCACTGAGTTGGTGGACATAGCAGCCAGCTCTCACCAGAAGGTTAATCATGTGCTTAGCACAAGGCATTACCTTACCTCAACATCCTCAGCACTGTAACATGATGAACCCAGAGGGCTGATGTCATCTGCTTGTTGTGGACAAGCATATGACATCGCCTTCTAAGTTTACCATGATTATTTAGGAAGGTGTTGTCCAACTCCCACCTTCAACCTACAACTTTCTTTACCTTTTGTCACGTTCAGTCAGCGTATGCATATCCCAAAGTAAGTCGCCATAGATTTTGCTTTCACATGACATTATTATACACTTGCATAGTTTCATAGCCGCCATTGCATTGGTTGGTTGGTTGGTACCTTGCAGGATTTCTGTGTGAGTATGGACCAGGCGTTGTTCCAGCCATTCCCATCGGAGGTGGTCTTTCAGCAGTTCCAGCCTCAGCAGACATACGAGTTTCCCCTCAACTTTAGAAACAACGACAGAGTAAAGGACCAAAGAGCTGTCGATCCACAGTATTGATGTGTGCATGTTTTTGCAGGTTTGCTCGTCACTCGAAAGTGATCACGAGACTCTCCATACTCAGAGTTGAGTGTGCCAGAGACCAGCTGGGAGCACAGTGGCCCTGGCATGGGGTCACATATCTCATCCTCTTCACCCCTGACGAGAAGAAGGTGTACATTCCTGATTTCTTTATTCAACTTGAAGTTGATGTCTTTTTGGGATAAGCTTACACAGGTTGAAGTTGATGTCTTTTTGGGATAAGCTTATACAGGTTGAAGTTGATGTCTTTTTGGGATAAGCTACACAGATGCATCAGTAGCGAGCAAGAGAAAATCAACTTTTGTCAGGAGTCGAACTCAGGCGCCAAGTGTATGGGGAAAGCAAACACCCTACGCATCGTGGTGAGCCACACTGCCCAGACCCAATGGAGCTTACCACAGACAGTACTTAAAGGCGAAAGGGGAGTCTGGGAGTTGCGGCTCAGTTATATCTTCCCTCCCTACCACCTGTGTAAGCGAATATTGCATAAGATATTCCTGTGGAGTTC